CGTCACACGTTTTGTTGCCCCACTGGGGAGGTCCACCGAAGCCCCCAGCGGCAACATTCGCATGAGCTCCCGCCTATCATGCCGGCACAGCCCTCACACGCGTCGTGGCCCCTATAGGGAGCATTGCCGAAAGCCCCAATGGACGCATTCGCGCGAAATCCTGATTTTCATTAGTTTCGTGGCCTCACTTGGAGCTCCACCAATGGCCCCAGTGGCAACACTCGTATTTTGGTTTTCCATGTCGGCACACCGTTCGCACGTTTCGTGGCCCTATAAGGAGCTTCGCCGAAGGCCCCAGAAACAGCGTTCGGATGCGTTTCCGCATCGTATTTCGGCACACCCCTCTCAAGCATCGTGGCCTCATCGGGAGCTCTTCCGCAGGCCTCACTGGTAGTGTTCGCATGAATTCACGTCTCTCATGCAGGCACACCAATCACTGTTCGAGAGTTTCCGTCCTCATTGCGGCACATCCTCACACGTGTCGTGGCCCCACAGGGAACTCCACCAATTGCCCCAATGGCCGCGTTCGCACGACCTCCCGCTTCTCATTCCGACACACCACTCACGTGCTCCATTGACCCATAGGGAGCTCCACCGAAGGTCACGGCGGCAGTGTTCGCTCGAGTTCGAGCCTTTTCATGTCGGCACACCCCTCACACTTTACATGGCCTATAGGGAGCTCCACCGAAGGTCCCAGTGACAGCGTTCGCATGAGTCCACACTTTTCATGTCGGCACAGCACTCGCACGCTTCGTGGCCTAATAGAGAGTTCCACCGAAGGCCCCAGCGGCAGCGTTTGCATGAATCCACCTCTTCCATTTCTGCACACTACTCACGAGCGTCGTGGCCCCATAGGGAGATCCACCGAAGGCCCCGTTCGCACAGGTTCGAGCTTTTGATTTCGGCACACCCCTGACACGCTTCATGGCCCCATGGGGAGTTCCACCGAAGGCCCCAGTGGCAGCGTTCGCATGAGTCACCGCCGCATTTCGGATCACCCCTCGCACATTTTGTGGCCCTACATTCGCCCTACAGGGACCTCGTGATCCGTCCGCCGTCACCTATCCAAGCTGCCCCATGCATCGTCCTTTCTGCGGCGCGCTGCCTGCGAGGAGAGGGCCGCCCCCGATGCGGCTCGTAATTTGTTCGCCTCCTTCCGTGATTCGCGGCTTCATATGGTTGGTTCTTCGCTTGGATAATTCGAAGCGTCGGGTCCCTTAATAGATAATACGTTTCCCGAGATGTACCCAGCCCTTTCTCCACGCGAGGCGAAGCTTTGCATGAACGCTCCATACACAAGAACACATCGCCAGATATGCCCGATCTGCGCTGCCCTCATCCCGCCGTGCCGAGCCTACGATAGTGGCGACAATTGCACACTTCGCCGCCCCCCAGGGAGCCGTAATGTCTCGGCTGGATCCGCGTGGCCGCCGATTCCGCTGGAGCTCCCACGCGCCAACGAAAGTGGCGACAATTGCGCAGTTCTCAGCCACCTTGGGAGCTGCGAGGTCTCAAATGGTCCGCTGACTCCCCGAATCCACCGTGCCTCCCAGGAGCCCACGAAAATGGCGACAGTGCAGAGTTATCCGTTTACTCCCCGACTCCGCCGTGCCTCCCAGGATCCCGCGCAAGTGGCGACAGTTGCACAGTTCGCAGTCGCCCAGGGAGCTGCGAGGTCTTAAGTTGATCCGTTTACTCCCCGACTCCGCCGTCCTCCCAGGAGCCCACGACATTGGCGACAGTTGCACAGTTCTGCGAGGTCTCGCATGATCGGTTTAGTCCCTGACTCCGCCGTGAATCCCAGGAGCTCACGCAAGTGGCGACAGTTGCACAGTTCGCAGCCACCCTGGGAGCTGCGAGGTCTCAAGTTGATCCGTTTACTCCCCGACTCCGCCGTGCCTCCCAGGAGCCCACGAAATTGGCGACAATTGCGCAGTTCCCAGTCGCCTAGGGAGCTGCGAGGTCTCAACTTGATCCGTTCAATCCCCGACTCCGCCGTGCCTCCCAGGAGCCCACGAGATTGGCGTCAGTTGCACATTTCGCAGCCACCCTTGGAGCTGCGAGGTCTCAAGTTGATCCGTTTACTCCCCGACCCCGCCGTGCCTCCCAGGAGCCTACGAAATTGGCCACAGTTCGCAGCCACCCAGAGAGCAGCGCAGGAGGGGAGAAGGGGGGAGGAGGGGGGGTGAAGTTGAAGAAGGTGTGCGACCGCAGTGGTCTATTCAAAACGAGAACCCAGCACAGGAGGGTTGGGAAAAAGGAGCTGGAGCGACAAGAGACAGGAACCAAAAGACATAACAAAGAAAGCAATACCATCAGCCCAGCAGAAGCTGACAGCCTGGCGCTCCTTCAAGGGGGCTGGGGGACTTCCGTGAGCGCCGCCCACATGAGGCGCCGCCGACCACACGAGTGCAAGAGGCTGCGCGGATGTGGAACTTGCCAGTGCCGTCGACGGACGGGAATCACCGTCTCGCAGGTTTGAGAGTTTCACCGTTTGGACCCATCACGTTGCACCCGCCGGCGTTGTGTCCATAGGTTGCCGCATTCGTGCGGCATGAAGTTCGAAGGGTTTCAAAGACAGTGCATCCCCGGTAGGCGGACCTCAATTGCAGTTCGTGCGAGGCGGCCCCGTTGGAAAGAGCAGCATGGCGAGTGAATTCTGCATCCTCCACCCTCTACACCACCTTCTTGCTCTTGTCAGGTCGAGATGAAGAAGCATCGAATTTACAAAATACGCGATCAAGGAGGAGAAGGTGAGAGCATCCGTATGTTTTCTCGGGGGGGGTCAGGCGTCGTCTCAAATCTTACCTCGCGGAGGGCCCAAACCTGTGCAGCTGTGTGAAATGCAGGGCGCGGCGTTCTCGCATACTGCGCGCCGTGGAAGGGATGGAGTTATGACCAGTGCGGGCACGGGGCTGCGGAGCAAGCGCGCAGAATGGGCACCATCCATGTGAACGGAGTTGTCGAAAAGGGTTGGATACTGAATTTGCACACCCTCTTGGGACTTCCGTGTGAGCTAGTTTGCCGAAATGAGTTGGGTTCCGCATGCGCACGCACATCCATTGAGCCCGTATGAACAGAAAACAATCCGGCATCCATCCGCGCATTGTTGCGGGGAACTCGTGCGACGGAGGGATTTTGAAGACAAGCAGTCCTCAATCCGTACAGTTGCATGACACGTTGAATTTACGACTAAGATTCTTATTTGGCTTACCCCGCACCGCCGACCCCTTGGGGGAGTCGCTGTTTCGGCTTCTAGGCGTTGCGTGACTTTTGCTTGTACTTATATCGAAGACGCATACGGCGAATCACCGCCGCCCCCTGCCTTTTTGGAAGTGCCCATGTGGCCGAACGTTGAGGCCCGACCTGCCAAGCTATCGGACCATGTGTTCCCCGAATCGGTTTGGAAAGCCTTTGGGGAACACGTGGGGTCATCTTGGCCGTCTGGAAGCCATTCTGACTCTTTCGGGCCTTCTTGGAGGACGTCTTGGAGGGCTCTTGGGCCGTCTTGGAGGCCATTTTGAGCGTCTTGGAGACCTCTTGGGCCGTCTTGGGGGCCTCTTGGGGCCGTGTCTTGGGCCTCTTGGGTGATCTTTGGGGGCAATTGGGCCGTCTCGGGCCGTCAGAAGGCCGAAACATGGCAAATGCCAGAATCCTTCAAACACCCATGGGAAATCAATGCTCTTGGCCTTTTCGGGCCTTCCTCGAGGCCCTCTTGGAGGCCGTCTTGGGCCATCTTAGGGCCATGTTAGGCCGTCTTGGTGGGCTCCTGGTCGGTCTGACGCCGTCGGAAGCCGTTTGGGGGGCCTCTATGGGCCGACTCGGGGCTCTCTTGGAATGCTCCAGGGCTGTCTTGGAGGCCATCTTGGGCGTCTTAAAGGCCTCCCGTGCCGTCTTGAGGGCCTCTTGGGGCCGTCTTGGGGCCCTCTTGGGCCGTTCTGGGGCCATCTTGGAGGACTCTTGGGTGATCTTTCGGCGATCTTTGGGGGCTCTTGGGCCGTCTCGAGCCGTCGGAAGACCGAAAAGAAGCAAATGTCAACATCCGTCAAAAACCTTCCGACAATCAACGCTTTTGGCCTCTTCTGGCCTTCCTTGAGGCCCTCTTGGGGGCCTCTTGGGCCGTCTTGGGCCAGCTTCGAGCCAACTTCGGCCATCCTGGTGGATCCTGGCACGTCTGACGCCGTCGGGAGCCGTCTTGGGGGCCTTTCTGGGCCGACTTGGGGCGCTCTTGGGGCGCTTCGGGGCCGTCTTGGAGGCCATCTTGGGCGTCTTGGAGGCCATCGTGGGCGTCTTGGAGGCCTCTTGGGCCGTCTTCGGGCCCTATTGGGGCCGTCGTGGGAGCCTTTTGGGCCGTCATGGGACCATCTTGGAGGCCTCTTGGGGGCCTCTTGGGCCGTCTTGGGCTTGGGCCGTCGGAAAGCCGAAACGGCGCAAATGCCACAATCCTTCAAAAACCCACGGGAAATCAACGATTTGGCCCTCTTCGGGCCTTCCTGGAGGACCTCTTGGAGGCCTCTTGGGCCGTCTTGGAGGCATTTTGAGGGCCTCTTGGGCCGTCTTGGGCCATCTTGAGGCTATCTTAGGCCGTCTTGGGTGCCTCTTGGACCGTCTTGGAGGCATCTTGGGGCCATCTTAGCCGTCTCGGAGGGCATCTTGGCCGTCTTGGAGGCATCCTGGAGGTCATCTTGGGCCATCTTGGAGCCGTCTGGAACGGAAAAACCCTTTGTAACCACCTCTGGAAGATCTTTCGGCATCCTCCCGGGACCCCGGCGGGACGCGCCGGAGCCCATTGGGAGAGATCCTTTGGAAAAGAACCAAAACCAAAACCGCAAGAAGTTCAGCACGCAAGGCGCCCCTGTGATGAATCAACAGGGGGCGGCGGATCTAGTGGCCTTCGGTCCATCCCTGCCATTGCCCTAGCCCAGGCGTGGCATGCATCACTGTTTCTGCTCATCGTTGATTTGACCAAGGCCTTTGACAGGGTTATCCGGCAACTCGTCATGGGCTGGGGCGGCGTGGACAGTGAGCACCGCGGGCGCCACCTCCACCAGCTTGGAGTCGCCCCGCGAGCGGCCCGGTGGCTGCACGCGTATATCGAAGAACGCGGACCCTTACTGCAGCAATGGGGGGCCAACCACACGGCTAAGGAGATGGCCCGCACGCTTCACGAACATTCGTGGTTCCAGGTGCCAGGCGGGGACCGCGTCGTGGCCTCTCACACGGGGGGGCGTCAAGGGTGCAAGCTCGGATCACTCGTGTTCAACTCGGCCTACACCCCAGCACTAGACATGCTCCGGTGGCGATTGCGCCAGGACGGCGTGACCCTACGCATCCCGCAGGCCCCTGGCGCTTTTTGGGAGCCTGCGCCCGCCGACGACCCGCGTGAATGCGAGATTGTGGACGCCATCTTTGTTGACGACGAGGTCGTTATCCTCCTGTCCGAGTCTCCTCGGGCTTTGGCGCGTGCTATCAACGTCTTGCTCGAGATCCTGATAGGCACTTTCAGCGACTTCCACTTGGAGATCCATTGCAGCAAGGGCAAGACCGAGGGCCTAATTGCTCTCCGGGGCAAGCGCTCGGTGGACGTTCGGGAGAAATGGCGGCAAGCCGACGGCAGCCTGGCCATTCCGGTCCCGACTTCTGGGCCCTCCCTCCACGTGTGCGAGGAGTACAAGCATCTTGGCACGTGGGTCTCTGTGTACGGAATGTCGTCTCGCAGTGCCGCTCACAGGGCGCAGTCTGCGATGGCGGCGTATGCGCCCATCTCCCGCAAGGTATTCGGCTCGCCGCTGATGAACGACAAGTATAAGGTCTCGTTCTTGCGTAGCCTCGTCCTCTCCCGCCTCACCTGCAACCTCCATGTCTGCACCTTGCCCATCCAGACGCTTCGCCGCTTGTCCGGGGTCTACGTGGGAGTGCTTCGGTGGACTGCAGGAGAGCCTCGTTTCTCCAAGGCCGTGGCGCTGACTGACCAGGAGGTCCGGGAGAAGCTCGCCTGCGGCATTTTGGCAAGCTGGTCCAGAACCAGCCGGCCCCCCTCTTAGCTCTGCTGCAGGCCGGCGCTGGGGAGCCGGAGCTACCGTGTTTAGCGACGATTCGGGTCGATGTCGAACGGGTGCGCTCTCTTGGCCTGGTGCGTGATTTGCCCTCCTTGCGGGAAGGCCCACAGGCGTGCTTGGTCTGTTGCGGGGCGCCACCAAGTGGGCCCAGGTCCTGGACAAGATATGTTTTCATGAGTCTTGCTTGGACCGGGCCGCTCTGCCGGGGCACTCGGAGCACAGTGCCGGGCGCGGATCGGGCCACCAGTGCCCAGTCTGCCCGGCGCGTTTTCCTTCGGAGCGAGCCTTGGCCAGCCACTCGGGCCAAGCATGGGCGCCGATTGGCCGTCGAGCGACATATCGACGGTTCTGGCGCGCGCCCTGCGCGCGGCACCAATTTTCACACGCGATTGCGGTGCATCGCGCATTTGTCCGACAAGCGGCGCCCCACGTGCACGGCATGGGTGCTAGCCAACGCCCTTCAATTGCCTCCTCCTGTCTTGGCCTGGCTGAATGAGCAGGACCGGGCGGCCAAGCGCGAGGCTTGGGCCCAGGGGCGCACGCGCCCGCTGGCTCGTGGAGCCGCGACCACCCGCGACGGCAAGCGAATTGGACACTGCCGGTGGCGCACCCTGGGACCGCTGGCCAGTGCGCGCACGAGCATCGCGTTACGGCGCGGTGTCTTGCGCGGCTCGCCCCACGGCCAATGCGTCGTAGAGATCCTCATGCACCGCATTTTACGCTCTCTGTCGCAGCGGCGCTGGCCGGATCTAGGCGTCGCTCTTACAGGCGGTGTTCCGTCAAATTCGTGCTTCCGCGCCCGATCCCCGCAGCTGTCGCGCCATGTTGTATTGTTTACGCAGCCCTGCGAGCACCCAGGAGCCCTCCGTCCCCTGACTAACAAAAACCTTCGGTCCATCCCGCCACCATGCCTGGGTTGTGGTTCAGAGGCGTCTCGCATGTTCGTTCGGATCTCGTGAGAAGTCTCTCGGGGATCTGCCGGAGGCAGTTTGGAGGGAGGCCTCTGGGGCGTTGTTTTGGGGCCTTTGGGGGCAAGTGTTGGGCCTGTTGGGGGTCTCTTGGGGGCCTGTTGGGGGTCTCTGGGGGCCTCCCGGGGGCTTCTTGGGGCGGAACGCCTGAGTGTTCAGTTCATCTTGGGCCCTTCTTGGGCCCCCCTTGGGGCCCTCCTGGGCTGTCTCGCGGTCCTTTTGGGCCGTTTTGGGGCCCTCGTGGGGCGTCTCAGTGCCTTCTTGGGAGCCTCTTGGGCCGTCCTACGGCGGTCGCGGGTGCCTCTTGGGCCGTCTTCGGAGAAGGCGAGAAAGCCGCAGTTGTGGCCTCTTGGGGCCTTGTTGGGAGGCCTCTTCGAAGCCTCTTGGGGCGTCTTGGGGACATCTTGGGCCGTCTGGAGGCCATCTTGGGCGTCCTGTGACGATGTTTCGGCAATCCGGGGCCCTCCTGGACCGTCCGGGAGGTCTCTTGGGGCCTTCGTGGCCCGCTTTGAGGCCCTCGATGCCATCCTGGCAGATTTTCCGGAGCAAAGCGCCCCCCCCCGCGGGCCCTGGTATACCTAGAGGAGGCCGGGGTAAAGGCGAGAGATGGCGAGCGTTTGTTCGCGGCCGTTTGTGCTCAAGCGGCCGGCCGCCAATATATGATGTCGCCTCGTCGCGAGGCGCACTACTTGCCATTGAGACCGAAAACAGATTCGCTTGACATGGCCCGTCGTTCCCGCGACGATCTCTTACTTCTGGGACTATCACTCTTACGGCAACACATAGTTGGACATGGGATTCGCCTGAGGCGAAGCGCATGGCTGGGCCCCCCAACCCCGTTTCAAATTTGGTAGCAGGGCGGGCCTATGGTGGTCAGTTCTGGCTCTACTCCTGACCATCCACGGCATTATCTGGTGGACTACTGATATGGTGGAACATCAGGGCGCAGTGGGTCTGCGCGGAGGAATGTACATATCTACGCACGACCGCAAGGACGTTTGCAGCGCTACCTCCGTTCACGCGGAAGCCTCTTACATGAGTCCTACTTCCCTGCGCTGCCATACTTCTGAAGTCCACCCTCCAACTCCAATTTAGATTTTTCCCGGAAAGGGCGTAGGCCCAGGGTTCTCTTTTAGTAGGTAAACCTGTCCCCCGGTGCCTGCTTGAAGGAGGCCGGCGAATTTTTTCCCTGATAAATAACGAGCCGGCGAATTGCCGGCGAATTTTTTCCCTGGTAAATAACGAGCCGGCGAATTGCCGGCGAATTTTTTCCATGATAAATAACGAGCCGGCGAATTAAAATTTGAGGATGTCTCGAGCGAAACGCTTGTTTCCCAGCACGGCCCCACCCCAGCAAGACCACACCCCAGCACGACCACACTCCAGCACGACCTCACCACAGCACGACCACTCCCCAGCTCGATCACGCCCCAGCACGACCACGCCCCAGCACGACCACTCCCCAGCACGACCACCTCCCAGCAGGACCCCACCCCAGCACGACCCCACCCCAGCACGGCCCCACCCCAGCAAGACCACACCCCAGCACGACCACACCCCAGCACGACCTCACCACAGCACGACCACACCCCAGCACGATCACGCCCCAGCACGACCACGCCCCAGCACGACCACTCCCCAGCACGACCACCTCCCAGCACGACCACCCCCCCAGCACGACCACCCCCCAGCACGACCACCCCCCAGCACGACCACAGCACGACCACACCCCAGCACGACCACACCCCAGCACGACCACACCCCAGCACGACCCCACCCCAGCACGACCCCACCCTAGCACGACCACACCCCAGCACGATCACACCCCAGAACGACCACACCCCAGCACGACCCCACCCCAGCACGACCCCACCCCAGCACGACCACACCCCAGCACGACCACACCCCAGCAGGACCCCACCCCAGCACGACCCCACCCCAGCACGGCCCCACCCCAGCAAGACCACACCCCAGCACGACCACACTCCAGCACGACCTCACCACAGCACGACCACTCCCCAGCACGATCACGCCCCAGCACGACCACGCCCCAGCACGACCACTCCCCAGCACGACCACCTCCCAGCACGACCACCCCCCCAGCACGACCACCCCCCAGCACGACCACCCCCCAGCACGACCACACCCCAGCACGACCTCACCACAGCACGACCACACCCCAGCACGACCACGCCCCAGCACGACCATGCCCCAGCACGATCACGCCCCAGCACGACCACCCCCCAGCACGACCACCCCCCCAGCACGACCACACCCCAGCACGACCACACCCCAGCACGACCACACCCAGTCGCACCCCCGTGGAATGTTTCGTGGGGTGTCTCGTGGAATGTTTCGTGGGGTGTCTCGTGGAATGTTTCGCGGGGTGTCTCGTGGAACGTTTCGCGAGGTGTCTCGTGGAATGTTTCGCGAGGTGTCTCGTGGGATGTTTCGCGGGGTGTCTCGTGGGATGTTTTGTGAGATGTCGCCCAGTTGGGTATCATGAAAACGTGTCCATGCTCCACATGTCTATATCCCTTTCCGGGTTCGTGGGTCCATCATGTTTGGAAGCCACGACGCATGGCAACATGCGATACGACACTGCGCTGCCTCCGCCCCCACTTAGGCGAACGACGACATTGCAGCACAACCCGCAGCCACAAACATCCGACCGCGACCTAAGTGGCCATTGGATTGGTGATGCCATAGTTGGCCTCCGATGGGTCGCTATTGGATGTGCTGTTGGGCACGCGCAGCGCGGCGGAGACGACGCAAGACTACGGGCCCCCACTGGGGCCCTGCCGGTAACGTATCTTTCCGCGAAATCGCTCGCGAGGTACACGCCTGGGTCAACGCGACTACAGGCGACGCGACTCCCTCCCAACAGGCCGCGGCATAACAGCGTGGTCTGGGAGAGCTCGCAAAGGCCATGGCCATGAGAGTACATTCCGCAATCATTAATTTTGACGCGCATATCGGCGGTCGCCATACTGACGGCGCCGCCTACATCACGTTCCTCCTCAGTGCGAAGTTCGAGAACCTGGAGGAGGAACGCCAACTTCACGCGGAAGTCTCATCGGCTTTCGCGCCCATGCGGGAGACCGGATTGACCAGACGTGAGCTCGCATTGAGATAGCGCGCCTTGAGGCCGAGACCGCAGGTTGCAACGTTCCCAACTTCCAGATCATAACAGTTATCTGGTTCAGAGCTCTGGGCGCCGGTACATCGCGTGCGCGGCAACTACTACATCCACGAAATGCCCAGACGCCAAGGGCCCAGCAACAGTTTGATTCCCTACCGGGGCGCACAAGAGCTCATGCCCACATAGCTGAGCGACCCCCCGGCAACAGTGGCGGCATATTCAGCCGCGGTCATCGTGCCGAGGCTTTTCATCCCGACGCTAACGCAGGGCAACCTGCCCGCGGCATCTGGACCGACGATCCACGACCAAATGAGGCCACCACCTTACTAAGCCAACAAGGTGGCCAGCCCACGGGGTCGCAAGACTCTTGGGCTCGCTAGCAGGGGCCGTCGGCAGCGGCTGCCCCTGCTCAAGCCACTGCCCGCGTAGGCTCTGCGGGGCAGGCCGCCGAGTCAGAATTTGACTCCGGCACCGACGCCGACGCCTCATCAGATGATGGGACTGGCGCCCTGGACTACTCCGACATGCACGCGTATCTCACCGAAGAGCAGCAGGCGCAGCGGTAATCCCTAGGACACTGAAACACAAACGCCGATGGAGATGATTCGTAGAAAAATATGTTCGCAAGGCGCGACGCGCGGCCCGGCGCGCGCCCAGGTCGAAGGGCAGGGGTAGAGGCGAAGGTAAAGGCACACGACGGAGAATACATAGCAGAGGTACTTCGGCATTCCTGGCATCCTTCGCGGGACCACAGTGCGAGGACACCGGCCGCTGAGGAGGAGTTCCGACTGATGTTCCTACCGCAGGTCATTAGTTTCCCTACGCGCGGGGGCCCTACGACGACGATCCTCTGCGGGGCAACCCGCGCGACGCTG